TTGGACTTTTGAGAATCAATGATATGATCTTGTTGTATAAAAGATTAAACAAACTATTATCAAGTTAATATAATAAATGATTATAGCATCTTTCATTATTTTCTCAGCTGGCAGGTGCAAGAATTTTTCAGCCACATCGCCGAATAATGAGGCAATAATATTGCCAGTGTGATCTTTAATGTTAACACTGCACTTTGCTCTGGGGGAAAAATTTCACAATAGTATTAGGCAAAATTTGAAATTAAACAATATAATAAATGAATATTTTTGTGCACATAGTGTCTACGGTTATTACCTTGGAACTGCTCTTGCATGCATGTACTTGCAATAATTGCAAAGATACATTTCATTCAATCGAGCAAAAGACATCCAACCACAAGTGTCACATGCCATATACCAAAGAGACCGACTTCTTGTGCTCATTTCTACCTTACCAGTTATCCAAAATGGTTTACGCTAAAGTAATTACAAGGAAAAGGAAAGTTAGGATACTTTTTTATTGAAAATATTTTACTTTCCACATTGGAATTCTAAAGTAATGAATGGTAAAATTTTTATTTTATTATTTAACATACAATTGATGTATTTTCTGAAATATCTCTGGTGCTAATGATTCTGTTCTTCAGAGGAGGTGGAATAGCGGGAGTATTTGATAAATCATATGTCTTTTGAGTTATCATCTCTGTCAGGATTTCTTTGTTTCCTTCACTCCTTCAATCGTATGTAAGGATTAGTGAAAAAATATGTAAACAATAAAACACAATAATGTTGTGGGAAATGAGTATTGGAATTAAAATATTTTTATGAATAACAAAACAAGTGTACTAACCATTGTCTCAATTTAGCAAGTTTTTGGAATTTCGGGTTTACGAAGATTGAACTGTTTGCTTTCATGGACAAAGATATTCCTATTGAATATATTACAGTTGTGTGGGCACATTAAAATTTAATTGTAGCACATGGTTTGTTAAAAGTGACAATTAAATTCTGACTTTATCTACCTTTGAATGACGTCACCTTCAAATGGTTACCAACAATCATTGGTTTTTTCATTAAGCAGTCGGTGATCTCAGCTCCTTCATGGTCTATAAAATTGTCCTAGATAGTTAATATAATTGCTTGCAACCTGCACAGGAAGTTACAAAAATTGAATTAGAATTTTGATAATTAGGAAACATTGGTCTCTTTTCGAAAGTTTTAACTTGAGGTATACTTAACATTGGCAAGAACAATATCTTGGATAGTTGAATCTGCATTTCTGTTTGGAATTTTTCGTTTTGGACGAACATCAACAACAATATCTACAAATGCTGCCAATAAAAGTTCATAATTTTTTTGTGATGTGCATTATCATGAAAGTGGACTTTGAATTACCTATTTCAATATCCATGTCTATGTACTTGTAAAGTTCATCAAATGTTGTAAACTGGAAACATGATTCCATGAGAGGGATGTCTTCATTTATTTCTCCTATTCGGGTTGAGCCACTAATTGTCCATTGTGTATTTCCACAAGTTGATCTAAATATTTCATCTGTTTGTTTCACGTATGCATTTGAGATTAAGTATGTCTTTGATGGCATCAATGTGTTTTCCAGAGCTTTAATGTTTTGAGCAAATATAGTTTCTTGGACTTTGTTTTCCTATATGCATTATTAATATGTAAAGTAAAGTTTTTTCAGATTCAACTATGTAAAATATAGCAGATAAGTTCGACTAATACGCAGTTTGATGTATGGTAATTCTGAACACATAGTTTAAAATTCATTATTTCAACTTCAAATAACAAAATTCAGCTAAGATGAC